CCAATTACAGTCCTGCCTGCTCATACTGCCTACCTAGTCAAGTAAATTACAGTTTGAATATAGTCAAGTCATCGAAATAAGGTCTGCGATATATATTCTATGCATATGTCATCTTGAGCATATCGTTCCACATGACTAATTATGTATTGGTCATATGAGAAATTAATTTTCTTCACAGTCTTGACATTGTGTCAAAACAATGTAGTTCTAATTTTGTCAAAAGCACATATGCACCCTTGGAATTAATTACAAAAACCGCCTACTTTCATTTGAAAATTTCCCAGAATTACTAGTTTGATTAGCTAGCTGCCTCCGTTTATTAGGTAGATTGAGGAAAAACTTTTGTAAATGTCAATAGGGAAATTCATCACACAAAGCATCATTGAGATAATTATAGCCTTTCTGAGAGTGTACTTACACATTAACCACTATTATTAGTAGACGTATAAAACCTACACTCACAAGTGCTAAAAGTAAGAGTAGTAATTTTCCGATGGTAACCATGAAGCACTGCCGAGCATCGACCAACTTCTCGTCGTCCTATCCAAGCTTTTGACTCGAAAATTGGGGCCACGTCATGGCAACAGGGATCATAAGGCTCGAAGCCTTCCATCTCAAATATAGATATGAAAAATATGGATGATTATGATTTCTTCGAAAAGAGCAACGGCAGCCCTGTATGACAGCATAGGATCGGGCCCCTTCAGTAGAAGTTGGCCCTCGAAATCAAAAACCATTGAATATGGCTCATGCATCGACTCGTGGGAGTCGGATGCTGTTTATTTCGATGTTTCTAAGCTCCCAAACAAAGCCCCTGTCACGTGCCGAACTTCGATGAGAAACAGAAGACTTGGTCGGCGTTGGGTGGGACCGGATCCTACACCTCTTTCAATCTTTAAAATGGGCGAAAAAAATCCAGGACCTTCCTTCCCTGCTCCCTTTGCCCATTTTTAAGACTAAAAAATTCTACTACTAATTGCATATATTTATAGCTACTAAGGTAAGAACTCAGTGAGTCAAGAAATCAACCAAATGGACAACCAATGTAACGTCTTTTACTGATACGATGAAAAAGTAGGTCCATCTCGCTTGGAAAGAAGGGATCACTTCAAAGGAACCCGCAACAGGTACAGTCGTCAAGATGGTGTAATGATTGTAAGTAGATACCGCCCGTCAGCCATCGGATCCCTCTATTACAAGGGAACGTTTAGGAGACCTTCAAACGGTACAAATTTTGGCGG